CGTTATACAAGTATTTAACACAGAGGATTTTCTAGGACAGAAACTTAATTTGAAGAACAATAAGCACTGAGTTCTCAAAAAATTTGTTTTTTTTTTTCTTCAAACAAGCATCTAAAATCTAGGTTTGTCAAACAACCAAGGGAGCCTTTGTGTGCCTCTGAATTTGATCCTGCAGAAAAGGTTGAGTTGCAGTAAGTAAATTATTTTATCCATACATGTAGTGATTTATGAGAAGATTAATTATGTGATTTATCTTTCCTAATTGATTCCAGAATAATGTCAAGTAGTAGTGCAAATCCAAGGAGGTGTAATTGTGGGCTACTAGTGCCAATAGAACTCAAACGTGCGACTTTTTTCCCAACAGTTTCCTCAAAGCTGGGACTAGTAGGCCAATACATGAGATGAATAGAGAATAAAGGAATTTTTTTTTTAGTTGGAGCTTTCTGAAAATGGTAGTGTGGGCATTAAAGAAGATGAAAATACTACTTTTATAGGAAAAGGAGGTAGCTTCCAGTAGAAGCTTCAAGACTCCCTTCGTTCCTCCTACGGCTGTAATTAATCACACAGCTCGAGGTCTGCAATTATCAGAGGCTTATAATTTTTTTATTTATTTATTTTTTTAAAATAAGTGCAAACTCCCTATAATAGGTTACCACACCGGTGTTTACTTGAACAACCGGTTTCAGTCCCCTACATTTACATTTCGTAACTCCAGTCCCCTCCTTTTAAATTTCTTGAAAGTTCAGTCTCTTGTAAGAGGCTTAACTCTGTCGTAAACTCATAAAGGGAACGTTAGTACATGAAATGGGGGACGTTTTACCAAATTGAGCTTTAAACGGAAACTATTGACAAAAATGGTAGCGTGGCAAAACTATTTACCAAACTAAGCTTCCAGGGTAAATCGCTGTCTCGGACAGCGTTTTACCTTCTGTATTTTTTTAAATTCAGTAGGGCATAAAACGCTGTCTCGGACAGCGTTTTATCCTTGGGTTTTTTTAAAAAAAAATTCAACTACAACTATTTTATATGTTCAACATAAAACGCTGTCTCAGACAGCGCTTTATGCTTGAACATAAAACGCTGTCTCAGACAGCGCGTTATGCTTGAACATAAAGCGCTGTCTCAGACAGCGCTTTTCTGCTGGAAACAGCAACCAGCATCCAGGCAGAAAACAAGCTTCAGCAAACAGCTTGCATGCTGCAGTCCTCCAACAGCCACCACAACAGCCAGCTCCACAGCCCTACCGTCCATCGTATCTGTTCACATGCAATTTAACAAATCCCAACAGAGTTAACGCATTAGCAATTAACCAAAATGTTAACGATCAAATGTTCCAAATGTTATTAAATCAAAATGTTCCAAATGTTATTAAATCAAAATTTTCTATTACAAAATAATTCCTCCATCTACGATTACAACGAATTTCAGTTAACAGTCATGGGTCCTCTGAGGGTCTCGATGGACACGTTGCCCGGTTATGGCCCTGAACGTGACAACGACTACATTTGCTCGCGGGCCGGTTAGTCTCATCCATTTCATTACGTATGCGCTTTGACCTTGGTCGCCCTATTCCACGCAACATGCTCCCGTCGGGAATGATTCTGGGACCGTTATAGGGCGTCCAGGTTGTCTCGCAAGGGATTGGCCAGAATTGCGGCGCGTATGTGCTCGTGTATGCCTCCGATTGCAGCACCGGGTCAACCCACGGCCGCTCTGATAGTGAGTACGTTGCACATACGGCTAGAACGTGAGAACATGGGAGGTGAAATATCGTAGGTTTGTTGCAGGTACACGTTCTTAACTGAAAGTTAACAGTATGTTTATGGCCTCCTTTACTACCAAGTCGGTCTCCCCTTTCTGTTGTAACTTGGTAAATATGCAATCGACGGTTATACGCATCCGCTCTGTGATATCTGGCTTTTGCGGTGTTCTTCTCTAGAATGGCAGTGACCTTGGGGGGGTATGCAAGTCCCTGTTCAAATCTTGCCTCAGAAGACTCCCTTCTCAAAGTGAAATATTTGTTAACTCTATGAAAAGTTAACTCGACTAGGGACATGATCGGTAGAAACCGTGCTCCCTTCAACACGTTGTTGAATGTCTCAGAGAAGTTAGTAGTGCAAATCCCGTATCTACGTCCAGCGTCGTGAAAGAGGGACCACATGGTGAACGGAATTTGAACAATGTACTCCATTGCCTTGTTACACGCCTCACTAATGAAACACAGATCGCCGTGTAGTTTTCTTTCCTGCCTTTGGTACGCCGTAGCCTTGAACATATCTCTCATGTCGTTTCGTCGCACGTGAGTCTTCAAGTTAGAAGCTATGTGGCGAACACAAAATCTGTGATAGGCTCGCGGCTCGGTAAATCCAACGTTCGGATCAGTCATTGCTGCAATGATCCCAGGATGTCGGTCAGATATAACACAAAGGCCATCTCGTTGAGTGACATGAACCCGAATGCAACCCAGGAACCAAGACCAGCTGGAGGTGTTTTCCCCCTCAACCAACGCAAATGCTAGAGGAAATACTTGGAAGTTTGCATCAACACTTGTAGCAACCAACAGTGTTCCTTTGTACTTCCCGTACAAGTGCGTCCCATCGATACAGATAACTGACATACAATGTTTAAAACCGTCGATACAAGGGCCAAACGCCCAAAACACTCTTTCAAACACTTCCATGTTGCTGTAGTAAACACCGTCAACCAACGCTTTGTACTTCCACACAACACACGTTCCCGGGTTTGACTGTTGGAGGGCTTGCATGAAGTGCGGAAGTCTGCCGTAAGAACTCTCCCAATCACCGTAAATATCAGCTATTGCTTTCCCCTTTGCATACCATGCCCTCCGGTACGGGACATCGAAATGAAATTGCTTGGAGATGAGTTCTTGTATGAATTCAACTTTCAAAGACGGATCTTTCCGAACAAAGGACTTCACAAAATCTGATATTAACGACGAATCCAAATGCGGGTGATCAGTGGACAATACTTCCGTGACACAGTTCTCCCGGTGCGGGCCTTTGTATGTGACTAGGGCGAAGCCACGCGAGTGCTTACTAGATTTGGTACCCCGTAGCATCCAACCACATTTTTTCTTGCACCGCAAATGAAGCACACTCTCATTCGATGTAATTGTGGTGTAGAACTGATTCCTCTGTATGGAATACATCTTCACCATTTCTTGGAGCACTTTCTTACTTTCGAACCACATCCCCTTCTCAAATTCCCCCCCCCCCCCCCGGAACAAACGACGTATGACTACCCGATTCGGCCCAATCCTGATCAACTTCGTAGTTCTCGTTCACCTGACTGAACCAAGGAATGGGAGTTCTAACCAGGGGCTCGCCCACTTCCATCCGAGCAGGTTCTACATCCATGTTCTGAAGTCCATCTTCCTCCTCTCCGCTATCGGCCTCATCATTTGTGTACACATCATACACAGAAAGTTCGTTATTCACAATATCTTCAAGATGATTCGGCGCATGCTGAGACGGTGAAGCTTCGCCAGTCAATGCCAAATATGCCCCCCCATGTACAGGTGAAGCAATATGAGAACTAAATGGCATGTCAAATTGATCGTCGTGCAGCATTCGACTGAAAGATCCCATCCCATATTCAGTTGATGGAATGTCGTGTGACGGCACTTGAAAGGGCTCTGTGTTGTACCCAGAAATACGTGTAGATTGTTGTTCTGGCCGAGTACTTTGTTGGGTACATATAGGCACCGTTTCCACATATATTACAGTGGGAACACCCTTCATTGCAACAACGTTCCTTAGAGCTGTCACATGCTTATTCGTAGAAACCGGTAACACTTGAACCCCATTGCCGGTCTCAAACCTCATTTTAATGTGTACGTCAACGGTCATCGGGTCTGAACCAATACTACTATGAACCTCATTCATCAAATCATTCATAGTCATGTTCGGTTCTAGTGTTAGTGGTTCCATATTTCCCCCACTATACTCGACCCGGGGTCCATCAAACAACATTTCTCCTCCCCACCGGCATAACAAAACTACATTTTGTGACGCCATATTCTACATAACCAAAACACATTTTAGGATTATCGAAATCTAGAGCGAGGTAAATTATCAACACTGAAATAAGACTCTTCTCACCTATAACAACTTCACTTTCAACAACTTCACCAATTTCAACAATTTCATGAACAATTTGAATTATTTCAACAATTTCAACCTAAACTATTTCAATAATTTCAACATTTTCACCATCATCAACTTCACCAATGTCATGAACAATTTCAATAACAATGTACCACATCACCATCAATAATTATCAACAATGTACCACATTTTCATTAATAATTAGCAACAATTACATGCAATTGACATGAATTAACAACAAGTAAGAGCAATTACATACAATTCACAATAATTAACCACAATAACTATGCAATTACACTAAATTCAGTTTAGGGCTAACCACGAAATTGAGTGAGTGAGTGTGAGAGGGAGGAGGGCAGCAGCAAGGTGGCGGCAGCAGCGGTGGCGCAAGGGTGGGCGGCGGCGGCAATGCGGGTGTTTGAGTACGGTCGTGGTTTAGTGTGAGAGGGAGGAGGGAAAGCGTTGAGGTTGAGGTTGAGTTCTTGCGCATTCTGCTGAAGTGAACATACTGATATATGGCCATGAAACGCTGTCCCGGACAGCGTTTTACCCATTGAATTTTTTTTAAAAAAAACCCAAGGATAAAACGCTGTCCGAGACAGCGTTTTATGCCCTACTGAATTTAAAAAAATACAGAAGGTAAAACGTTGTCTGGGACAGCGTTTTATGTTCAACATACAATTGTTAATAATTTTTTTTAAAAAAATACAAAAGGTAAAAACGCTGTCAGAGACAGCGTTATACCAGAGCATAAAACGCTGTCTCGGACAGCGTTTTATGCTGGAAGCTTAGTTTGGTAAATAGTTTTGCCACGCAACCATTTTCGTAAATAGTTTCCGTTTAAAGCTCAATTTGGTAAAACGTCCTGAAATGGGAGCCACATTTAGCGGTTCATTTTTTTCTTTTTTTATTTTTCGCTACAAACCAATTAATCAGTCTCTTTCTCTTGGGTTTTAGCAATAGCTTGCTGTAGAAAAAGTAGGAATTTTCAAAAATGTCGGGAGCAACTGTAAGAGGGTTGATGCTACCAAAACCAGTAACATTTGTGACTGGAAACCCAAAAAAATTAGAGGAAGTTAAAGCCATTCTTGGTCAATCCATCCCTTTTCAATCTCTCAAACTCGACTGTAATTGCCATTTCCCAGAAATACCCAGTTCTTAATTTGTTCATAAGTTTATAATTTAGTTTAATTTGGTTTAATTTGTTATTGAATGCAGTGCCAGAATTGCAAGGAGAGCCTGAAGATATTTCTAAGGAAAAAGCTCGTTTGGCTGCAATTCAGGTAATCAACAAATTTTGAGGGATTAGGTTAATGGATTATTTGATTTCTTGTTTTTGAGGATTATTTGTTTATTAGGGTTATTAATTATTATTAATTGGATTAGGTTAATGGACCTGTTCTCGTTGAAGATACTTGTTTATGCTTCAACGCTCTTAAAGGGCTTCCTGGTATGTTAACAAAATTTAATTTGTCAAACACAATTTTTAAAAAAAATTCCATTTTCTAATTTTTTGCTATTTTGGATTTTGTTTCGAACCCTAATATTTTCTGATTTTAATGCAGGGCCTTACATGTAAGTTTCTTCATTTGCTGAGTTGAGGTGCCAATTTCTTTCTTATTCTTTTGTATGTTAGATGATGTGCTAATGTGTTTATAAAATTATGAATTAGCAGCAATATTATGGTATATGGGTAAATATTGTTTGTATGATAAGAATAAAGTTATATTAAGCTTACTTCTTAAGCCTATTACTAAAATAATGAGATTCATCCTACATTTGCTTGTTTCTCTAAATACATGTAAATTGGTTTTTAAATTAGATAAAAACTTGGAATTACTAATGTAAAAAGTTAGTGGTGATTCCTTGTTCATAGAATGAAAATCTTGAGTAATATAATTTGGGGTTGTGTGTTTCAAGAAAACATCGAGAGACTTTGTTTACAGTCTTTACACTTTACAGAGAGATTGGTCAGAAATTGCTACTGACATCTGTTTTGGGTATAAACTGCTTCATTTGGCCTTACTATCTGGAGTATCTACTATGTTTGTGGTGATCTTGCTCTGTTTATTATCATATAGCACTACATATGCAATTGGTTGATTTCATAAATAGGAAATAATATCTTACATTACTTTCCTGACATGTTTCCTTTTGATATGTTTTCACATGGCTGTGGTGTGGTGCTCCTCAAATTGTACATCTGAAGCAAATGGTTTCTTGAAAAAATTGGTCATGAAGGTTGTTGCTTTATCATCCTTTTTTTGTATTTTCATAACCTGTGTCGGTGTTTACCTAATTGATTATTCCGCTTTATTATGGTTATTGTAGGTCTTAATAATTTGCTGAAGGCTTATGAAGATAAATCAGCATATGCTATGTGTGTGTTTTCTCTTGCCCTTGGACCAAGTGCAGATCCTATCACCTTTGTGGGGAAAACTATGGTATGTACTTTTGTTTTCTGATTTCTGAAGTCTTGAAATACTTTTAAGGTTTGTTGTACCATCTAGGATTCAGAAACAATTTGATGCCAGTGTTTTTTTCTTCTAACCAATGTTAGTATATAATTGACTAAGAAATGAGTGTCTACTAATCCACTGACACTTATCATTATGTTAATCAAAATTTGTTCAATACAGGTTAACTGTGTGTTTTTTCTTATTCAAGTGTTGTACTTTCTGAAAACATGTTAAGAAATATTCTAAGCACTTGTCATTGAGAATCAAGGTAACTCAATTTGTAGTTATAATTATGTGCTCTCATCAACTACTGAATCAGACACAGGTGTAAAGTTGTAGCAGCATCATGAAATAGTGAAAGATAATGAGTCAAATGTGGATTTGCTAACTGATTAGCACAGTCAAGTTCATACATATCAATGTAGCAACTTAGATGGTCACTTTGGGGCCTGTTTTGCTAGTTGGGATGATGGTACGGAAGATGAAAAGCGGAGAAGAGGGTGGATAGAGAGGTTAGGTAGAATGGTGCAAATAATGCTTTAAGAATACCTTATTTACACACACAGTCCGGAGATGCAGTGGTTTTAAATAAAGCTTAAGATCTACAGAGTACCAGGTCGTATCAATCACAATGGAGGCCTTGTGCTACTAATCTAGTTCAACAAAATGGGGCCTTATGTATAAACTATAAATGTAGAAAAAAAAATTAAAAAAAAAAATGAACAAGTCTAGCCAAGATTCGAACCAACTAAATTACTCATGAAGCCCCCAACCATTCCACCACGTTCAATTATACACTTCAATTATACATAATATATATAGCTTAAAGTAAACAGGAGGCCCCATTTAACTTTGGCCTTGTGATGTAGAACTAGTTTACGCAGCTTAGAGCCAAGCCTAGAGAGTACATTTCCTTTTTCTTTATCCCTTAAAATGGCATACTTTCCTTTGTTCATCCATCCACTTTCTCAACAACTAAGTTTGTCACCTGATATTATATGACTTTGAGGACATTACCATTGACCCCCTCTATTTTTTAATCATCTTTCTATTTGAAAATAGCTTGGCAATTAGAACAAAAAACATAAGTATTTTCATTTGAATAAGAAGAAAAAAATGTGTATACAATATGCCTTTGTTAGGGGAAGATTGGAAGGGATGACTTTTGGAGAGGATTATGGTTCAACCATCTTGTTAACCATAGGGTTTCGAGGTGGGTGGATAGATTGAGGATGGCTTGTAGAGGGATAGGTGACTCGTAAGACTTCAAGGGGGTGGCCACGTATAAACTCCGAGCTGCATCCAAAGCATGCAGAAGTGAAGGGGTAATTGCATGATATGAGTGATAGAAATGAAGTAAGATAAGAATAAGGAATGCACCAACTGTTGCTAATTGCATGAATTGAGTGACAATAGAACCTATTTACATCATCTTTTTGAGAAGCGCAGTGGGGGGGAGGGGGGTTGCACAATTATAGCTTTGTCTTGGAGGATAGTTTGTGGGTCCTTTAAGGTAAGGAACTCAAACTGTAAGTGAAAGAAATAGGTTTACAATTTTTTTTGTTTTTTTTGGTGAATACGAGGGGCTAGCCCCAAAGAGAGAACAAAGCTAGGAACTAGAAAAGAGAACAAAACAAAACACACGAACTACCTACTAAACCAAAAATAAAGAAAACTAGGCCTTATTCATCGGCACTTGCCTAGGGAGCGCCATACCCCCAAGTCCTCTAATAAAACGGCTCCAAGATCCTTCGGGATTGCCTCAAAAATGACCATCTTTTGCACCAAAGAGACTCCATGATTAGCGAGCCAATCCGCCACTCTATTCGCCTATCTGGAACAATGGCCAATCTTCACCATCCAACCATCTCTGCCAAGCAAAGCCTTGCACTTTCAAATAATATGTATAAAAGGGGAGTTAGTTGGAATAGCATCCACTAACAAACGAACTATGACCTCAGAATCCGCTCTAAGTTGCACCTTACGATACCCACCGTTCCAAGCTATTGCAAGTCCACTCAACACTGCTAATAGCTCTGCTCTAGTACACGTACAGGAGCCACAATTCAGAGCAAAAGGCTGCAGCACTCTTAGTTTTAAAAAGCGCGCCTAGGCGCAGTTGAGGCGCAAGGCGACGCGAGACGCCGGCCAAAACGCCTCGGCCTTCCTAGGCGTCGCGCATTCCAGAAGGCGCGCGCCTCAAACCGCCTCCAAGGCGTAAGGCGCAGAGCCGCCTTATGTTTAGAGGCGTGAGAGAAGGGGATTTGGATTAGTTTTGTAAAAAAAAAACACATTTTTTTTCCAAATTAAAGCTTACCTAGTCTTTAGAGAGGTAATTCGAGCAAAAACCCCTTGTTAATTGAATGAAATCACCTCAATTTGACCCCCAATTTAAAAGCCCTAATTTTAGAAAAACCCTAATTTACGGGTTGCTTTGCAATTGAAAAATTGGTGGGTTTTGCTACGGCAGACAGCAAGAGATCAATCTCTGGTGGTTTCCGGCTGCAAATATACCGGCGGCCGGCACCGGTGAAGCAACTCAGGTATTTTTTTTTTTTTTGCTTCTATTCTCTCTCTTCGATCCAGACTCTTCTCCATTCTTTCTTTTTCAGCTGCTTTTTATTCTCTCTCCTCTGCGGTCTCAGACTCTTCTTATTCTTTCTTTTACCTACGATAAAGTAATTTTTTTTTCTTTATTACTTTTTATTTTATTATATTATTATTACCAAAAAGCCTGCTCCTCATTTTTTTTTACTGTTAACCACGTGACCTGACCACCTTCCCTTTTTTTTACCAAAAAAAATAGGTTAAATTATTTATTATGCTTAAATTTAAGTATTTTAAGAAAAATAATAACAAAAAGCTGTAAAATTTCTTCAAAACAGCACTACGTAAAATAAAATGAAATAATTATCACTTTAATTTGATATTTAAATAAATTTTTAATGTCAAAAAAGAAGTTAAATAAAAATAAATTCACATTAAAAAATTTGCGCCTCATATTCAAGAGGCGTGCGCTTTCGCTTTGCGCCTAGGCTCTAGGGACCCTCTGCTCCTCGGTGCGCCTCGCGCTTTTTAAAACTAAGGCATCACTTCACCATTATCGCCTATATTGCCTTTAGAGGCACCATGTACAGGAGGTAAAATGAAAGCGATTGTTTTCTTATATGGTTTGGCAAATAGAAAGGGAGGAAAATAGAGGGATCCAACTTCTTTTCCTCTTTAATAAATAAACCCTTCCAATATTGGAAAGATTTATTAGTACAAATTACTAGCCCACTTCTTATTTTGGGAAGTTGTAAAACTCTTTGCATTTTACATCTTTTCGGTTTTTTCTTTTTTGGGAGAAGGTTGGTACCCTCCTTTTATGAAAACTTACAGAAATTTTTCGCGTCATTAATCACACACAAATAGGCACACACACTAATAATCGGGGTGAAGTGGGCCGTTTACTACCTCCTCCTAATCAAACAGAATTTAAAACTCTTCACTACCCTAATACAAGTATAGGGTCAAGCAAAGGATCGATCCACGAGGAAAAGGGGTTTTGCTCAATCAAGGTGAATTATGAATCTATTGCAAAGGGGTATTTTGAATGTTTTTTGTGTTTTTCAATAGTCAAACTACTACTACGAAGAAATGAAAACAAGCAAAATAAGAAATCAAAAGCTAGAAGAATTAGAATAAGGGAAACAACGCTAGGGGGTACGGGGGTGTCAAACACGATTAAATAAAGATGGACCACGATGATTATCATGAACATCATGCTATAGAATACTAAATTCTACTTAAACAACTCACTCTCATGCAATTGTCTAAGCAAATCAATGAATTAGGTCTTGGCGTGATTGAGATCACTTTCATGCATCCAATTAGACACTAATCAAATCGAAAGATAAAGAGTGCACTACACATAAAGCTCTATTTAAACAATTCACTTTCATGCAATAATTAAAGTAAAAGTGATCTTAACCTGATTCAAATCACTCTCGTGTATCTAAATTAGGGAACATTAAACAATGTGCTACTAATAATCTCAAGCCATAAAAAATCATACATTCATCAATTTATAGCATGAGCTCAATCAAATCATCATTAATCATCAATATTAAGACATGCTTTTCACCCCCTACCCCTAGCTAAAAACTTAGCCTAGGGAAGAGAAACTAACCATCATAACAAAACTAAACAAGGGTTTAATAAACACAAAACTAAACATGATTAAAAACAAAGGAAAAACAAATCCAACAAGCTCAACTAAAGAAATAGATGAAAACAAACAATATCAAAGCAAATAAATCAAACTAAAGGAAAGGGTAAGAGAATACTAATGAGAAACTTGATTGACGAAGGAAACTTAAAGTTTTACCATTGGATTGAAATAACCTTGACCAAGTCTTGATTACAATGATGAAACTTGAAGAATAAGCAATTTTCTCTCTCTAAAAATACTAGATTCTAAGGTTGATTGGAAAATAGGAATCCTTACAAAATTCAATAAGAAGGCTATTTATATGCATTCACCAATCCGGAAATAAAGACCCAAGGAGAGCCTTCACTACGCATGACACGCGCTCTCTTGGCCGGGTACGGAACTGCCTATCCCAGCAAGTCGCGCCCGCGGGTGGAGACTGGAGAGGCCTCCACCTAAGGAGAGGTCGCGGCCTAAACAGGGGAAAATGAACCTCAAAACGCCGCGCTTGCGGCCCTAGATGCAGCACCCGCGGGTGGCTGAGGAGAGGCATCTCCTAGGGCGCGGCAAGGCATCTACCGCAACCTTGAAAAACCTTCACCGCAGCCTATGCTTTGCTGTGCGCCCTCCCCTTGAGCATCTACAAAATATCAAAGAAAACTAAGAAAACACAAGGAAAGAGAGAATAAAGAGGAAAACACGAGAAAAGACAAAACAACACAAAAACGAAGATAAAACGCTTTGAAAAAACTCAAACAAGTGCAAATGAGGGGTAAATCCTTAGAGAAAAAGG